TAACATGACAGGGATCAGTAGTTAAGCAGGTTTAGAGCGAAGACTGGGATTCTGGGAAGCAAGTTGGAGTTGTATTTAAGGCTATTATATGCTAAGGAATTTGGACCTACTGGGTTAGGTCTTTTAGAGTGATAATGCTGCCAACATGGTGAAGGATAAATTGTAGTGCAGTGGAGGTAAGAGAAAGTGTGGAATCACTGAGCCCTTTGAAATTTTTTGATGTTTTGGTCTGATTTTCACAAAACAATTAAGGTTGCAGTTGGCCCTGGCTGCTTATTAGAATCACCTAGGGGCTTTAAAAAAATAAAAATGCCTGCCAGGTCACCTCCATTTTTACTTAATTGGTATAGGTCACATTAGCAAGCATTTTTGAAACTGTTTGCAAATGATTCTCATCTGTAGCCAGGGTAGGAAATCAGATTTTTTCTGATTAGTCATCAAATGAACTGTGGCAAGTCCTGATGTGGCGGGATTATATGCCCCGGCTAGGTGCCTGAACTGCATGGGACCCAGTGGTCTGGTCTCAGTTTTAGGTCTTACCTCACTGGGGCCCAAACTGCACTTACTTGCTCACAGGTAATTCTTAAGAAAGTATCTTCTCATCTCTGCCTTCCTATTGGAAGTTCCTGATGTTTTTTTGGCATTTCTTTTTCTTTTCTTTTTATGTTAAATTTTTAAATAAAAGAATTACCAAGCAAGATATAAATGCACGGTATTAAAGTACCTAGAGTAAAAGCCCCCCCACCTTTTCCATGGAGGAAAAAAGAGAGGGAAAGAATAATCCTTTACTCTTGGGTGTTTAGGTTTTTTCCAGTATTTTGCAATTACAATCTGCGATGAGTAAACTTGTACATGTATATTTTCATACTGTTGGAATATATATATGTATCTTCATGATACATTCCTAGAAACTGGTTGTTCTGTCAAAAGATAGTGCATTTTGTAGTTTTGTTAGATATTTCCAGATTCCCCTACTAAAGAGTTGTAGCAGTTTGCATGCCAATCAGCAGTGTCTTCTTAGAGTGCCTCTTTCCCTTCAGCTTCGCAACAAAATGTGTTGTCACACTTTAATTTTTACCATTTGTGGTGTGGTTTTTTGTTTGTTGTTTTTGGCAGCTGGACAGTACAGGGAATGAACCCTGGACCTTGGTGTTGTCAGCACTTCAATCTAATCACCTGAGCTAAATGGCCAGCCCTTAAGTGTGGTTTTAATTTTCATTTATTTGTGTTTTAACATCTCATATATCTTTTGTAAATTGTCTGTTTTATCATGGGGGGGTGCTCTTTTTTTCCCTCTCCTTTTTAAAGTAACTTCTAATACCAACATTTTCAAAGTATGGCCTATAGACCCCTAAAGGTCCCTGAAACCTTTTGAGGTTCAAGGGCAGAACTATTTTCATGACAAATGAAAATGTTTTTTGTCTTCTTCACTGTGTCATTTGAGTGAAGGTTCAGAAGCAGTAGTGGGTAAAACTGTGGGCTCTGTAGCCCACAGTTTGCAGTCATTGCCACAAATTCATAGTTTGGCTTAAAAGAACAATTCCAGTTTTACTTCAGAATGACTTGAAGCAGTAAAAATTGATTAGTTTTACTGCATCTCAACCCTTAAGTACACTTCTTTTCAATAGTCTGTGTGTGGAAATGGGAGATGTGCACAAGCTTTTCTGCCTTATTCTGAAATACTTGTGTGATTGTTTGAGTTGCAAGCTTACCCATCTCTGTATTTGTGTGTTGGGGAGGCGGGGATGGACACCATTTTTACTTGAAGGAATGATTGTTTACTTGAAGGAATGAATGGTTATCCAAACTTGAATATTTGACAAACATTTTTCTCCAAAATGAATGAATACCTGTTGCTTCAAGGAAAACAACTCCGATAGTATTTGCTGCCAACAATAAAAATTGAATTTTAAAACAAAAACTAAAATTTGGAAAATTTTTACCTACCACTGCTTTTCAGTACATAAGGACTTTTCTGATGAGACTGATGGTGTTATTAACATGTGATATAAAGAAATGTATTCTGAGATGTGTCATCATTTGAAAGACCAGCCTAAATAGGTAACCAGTGTTTTCCAAAAGGCCAAGGCATGCTGTTATAAAATCATGCATGGATAAAATACCCATTCAGAGTGCAAAATAGTCCAATGGCTGTTCATTTAACAGTACAAAAAGTTCACTGATACAGTTTCAGATTGTCTTTTAGGAAACTACTGCTTATCAAGTTTTTGGTGTAAAATCAAATGTGGATATTCATAATTACCTAAAAAGGCTACTAAAGTAACTCCTCTCTTTTTTAACTACATATGTATGTGAAGCTGAATTTTCCTTGCTTTAACAACAACAAAAAAACCCATATTACCACAGAGTTTCAAGTGCATTTTCTTGAACTTTTTTTCCCCTTAGCAATGAATATTGGGTTTTGTCAAAGGTTTTTTTCAGGACCTTGGGGATAATCATAGAATTTTTTTCTTTAGATTTATCCTTAAGATTGTATTATACTGATGGATTTCTTAATATGTTAATGTTGCATTCTTGGAATAAATCCCTTTATAATAGCATATTTATGTAGTATTGTCTTTGCTTATTTTTGTTTCATCCTTTTGCACAGATGCGCATGAACAATGGGCTGTTCTATGGGGGGTGCTGTCTATCATGGACAGTCGTTATCAGGTTTCAATATCAATGTTATAGTTGCTTCATAAGAATTTATAAGCTTTCCTTCATTTTCAGTGTCCTGGAACAATGTATGGACCATTGAGGTTGTTGATATTTTGGTAGAATTCCCCTGTGAAATCATCTTTGCCTTGTGCTTTTTTGTGGGATAATTTCCTCAAAATTTTCTCTATTTCTTCTCCAGAAATTGGTCTGTTTAAGCTTTTTATTTCTGATAGAGTCAATCTTGATAATCTATATTTCGCTAGGAAATTATGTTTTATTTAGGTTTTCAAATTTATTTGAATTTGCTTGAATTTGCAAAGTAGTCTCTTATGTTTTCTAATGCTGTACTAATAGGAATTTCTCTATAATCATTTTTTATTTTATTTTTGAAATTATAAACTTGCTTCTGTGATTAAGAATTTACTGCGTATTATCAAATGACTGGAAGAGAGGAGATTGAATGTTCTCGATGCAAAGAAATTATGTTTTGTAGTGATGAATATGCTAATTATCCTGACTTGATCATAACGCATTGTACACAGGTATTGATATTCAACTCTGTTCCCCACAAATATGTGTAATTAATTGTTTCAATTAAAAAAAACTTGCTTCTGGATGTTTTCAATTTTGAATATTCTCTGTTTTTGAGTTACAATGAGGGTATGGTTTTGTGTAGTTGATTTGTTATTGTTATATTATTTTTGGAGGATATGTAGAGAGAGAGAGATTCAGGTAGTTGCCATTGTCTTCAGCTACCCAGAACTTTTCCCATTATTAGTTTCTTTTTTTCACATTAACCTCTTTTGGTATTAGCTTTATTGCAATAAAATTCATATATCATACAATTAATGTATGTAACTTGTTGGTTTTTTATATATTCACAGAATTGTGCAGCCATTTTTAAGCATTTTCATCACCCTGAAATGAAATCCCGTACCCATTAGCCATCACTCTCCAATCCTTCCATTTCTTCCCTAGCCCTAGACAACCACTAATCTAGTTTCTGTCTCTATAGATTTCCTTTTCTGAACAAAGTGGAATAATAGAATATAAACAGACATTTGTGACTGGCTTTTTCACTTAGCATAATGTCTTCAAGTTTCATCCATGTTGTAGCAAGTATCATTACTTAATTCGTTTTTATTGCTGAATGATATTCCATTATGTGGAGATATCACATTTTATTTATCCATTCATCACGTGATGGACACTTGGGCTGTTTCACTTTGTGGCTATTATGATTGATGCTGCTATGAATATCTGTGTGTTAGACTTTGTGTGGACATATGTATATACCTAGAAGCGAAATCAATGATATTTGCTCTCTTTTAAGAAGAGGTTTGTTTTGGGGGCTTTTTGCCACTTCAGTAGGCTTTGGGAGGGGAGGGAAGGTCATGACATATGTCCTGTTCATGGTGGATGTGGTCTCCTCTGTTGTGGACTGGATAGCTGAGTAAGGGAGCTGTTAACCTTTATACTAACTGTGGTTTGGATTGTAGAACATAGTATAGTACAACCTTATACAAAAACATACTTCTATGGTTTTAGTGACTCTGGAGCCCTAACAGAATGCATGATGACATCTTTAGACTACTCTTGAGCACTTCATTTCCTTTTTAGGGAATGGTATGGATTTCTTTGAGATTAGGTGATTTTTTGATAACTCGGAAATATTTTGAATTTTTTCTGTACTGGGCTGACCTTAGTCGTTGTGGTAAAGATTTTTAGCTCTTTAGAAATATGTAGCCTATTATAGTTTACTTTAGTTAAAAGTATAAGTAATTTAAAAATATTTGATATGATGCATCTGTACCTTCTATTGTATACAGTGTGCGTAAGACATTGTTATGGTATATTACTGCTACAAAGATTTTTGGAATACTCGAAGCAAGTTGAAATAACTGACACATGATTTTCAAAGTTATTGATATTTTATTATGAAAAAATGGCAAAAATGGTGTATATGTTAGGCTGTAATTTTCTAAATCATTTGCTAGTGCAAACACTGGGCACTGCCAATCCCCTCGGGGCCCCTTCTGAAAATCAAAAATAAATTCAGGATTTCAGTGTTCACAATTTTGCAGTGTACTTTAGTTCTTAAAGAACATTTATATAATTAGCAATTGTTAATATTCTGTTATGTACTGTATTTATTAGCATATATAGTCTCTTGCAAGGACAGATAATTTTAGTATGTAACTATACAAGTGAGTGTGTGTAGATCACATATATAAGATTGTAATTCTTATATTCTAATTCTTCTAGATTGTAGAGTATGATAATAAAGAACAATTGTTTTTGTCCTTAATAGTGACATTTTACTGTAATTATTACTCTAGGCTCCTGGATTTGGATTTGGAATTGCAATATCTGGTGGAAGAGATAACCCTCATTTTCAGAGCGGGGAAACTTCGATAGTAATTTCAGATGTGCTGAAAGGAGGACCAGCTGAAGGACAGCTACAGTAAGCATGCTTCTTCTCTGGGGCACTTGTTTGACAAGCACTGTTCCTGTCCCCAGTCACTGGTTTACTGTCATAGTGATTTTGCTGTATTCACACACTACGTGTGCCTTGGTTTATTTAATAATTTTGCTTAAATTGACATATGCTTATACTTAAGAAAGAAGCTTTATCTCTATCATAAATGGAAAACTAGTATCACTTTAAATAGAAGATAACTAAAAATAAAAATAATGAAAAAGAAAACTTGTAACTCAGTTTTAGGTGGAATCTAGCCTTCAGGAGCCTCTCATCCCTAGTCTTGCCCTTTTTGTTTGGTAAGATTAGCAAAATAAAGAGAAACAAAAGATTCCAGCAAGAAGACAGACTATAATCAGAAGGATTAAAAGAAAATTGGAAGGAGAAAGACTTTACTTTTTAAAAGGGGAATGAATAACACTTTCCAGCTTTTATGACTTAGTATTTCATGCCCTGTAATTGTACCACCAAAAATCATTCTGTTTATTGTGGTAGCTGTTCAGTCCTTTGGGGAAACATTGTGTTAATGGTTAAAAAATATTAATGACCCGTGGTTATTAGTTACTTACTAAATGTTCTTGTGAGAGATCTGAAAGTAAATCGTTTGACATTATTTTATCATTGATCTGAAGACAAATAGGTTAATTGGCCCATAATTAGAATGTTTGTTTTGAAGTACATATCTTGAAAATATCTTCACAAACTTAACTGTATGTTTTTCTTTAACATGTTATTTCATGACTTTGTTTTTTCCTGTAGGGAAAATGACCGAGTTGCAATGGTTAATGGCGTTTCAATGGATAATGTTGAACATGCTTTTGCTGTTCAGCAACTAAGAAAAAGTGGGAAAAATGCAAAAATCGTAAGTGTCTTTTTTTTTTTAAATTTAGTAAAAGTACCAAACTTAACTATGGATACATTTCTGGTGTTTGAATTCATCCTTTTGCTTTAAGACGATGAAAATTCAAACAGTAGTCCCAAAGTTAGTTGTTTATAAGTAGGAGGAGTGTTTCTTCTCGTACTGGTGTGTTTTGTCACTTCTGTATTTTCTCAAAGTTCAGATACCAGAATTTTTCCAACTGAAAAAGGAAACAGGGAGAGGGGTGGGGAAGCATTTAACGATTACTCCTTTATGGCTTAATGCTGCTTTCTCTTTTAAGTACTTAAGTTAGACTGGATCTTGGCATAAGTCCATTTGAAATATATGGTCCTGTTTTCTGGTTTAAGATTTATTTACTGGACAAGTTTTACATTGCCCCTTGAACCCTTACATCATCTGCTATTTTCCCTGGTATTATGATATAGTTTGAGGAAAGAGAAAGTATAAGATTTTCTTTATAGAACTGTTCAGGGTGTATTTAATGTTACTGTTTTACTATATATAAAATCTTTATTTCATATTTCTCTGAGAAGTCACTTTTTTTTTAAGTAAGGGAAAAGAAGTTCACTTAACTCTTGATAATTGTCTTTAGTCACAGTTAAAAATTGGCAAATGTGGCACAGAATAGATTTAATGTAAAAGTCTTATTTAAAAGGATATCCACATTTAGGAACACATTAGCTCCTTCACCTACCTTGTTCCTGTCTAGTTTTTGCCCACCTTGCCTCTGAAAAGACTGATGAAGACACTGCTTGAAGCCTTAGCTCAGGTGTACAGAACAGGAAGATGAGGTTGGATTGTTAGGTTGTCTGTCATGCTTTGTCCATTGAGAATCTTTCTACCTTCCAGCTGACACTCAGAACCACAGTGGACACAACAGAAAGGATGGGAGGTGGTGTGAAGGGAGGCTCGCATTGAGTTTTGACCTCTGGGAGATGTAAGAGCTGAGAAGGGAATTCCCTGAGACAGTGCACCAAATAGTTGTGAGGCCCTCTCACCCTGTGTGGGCTGCCATGCTGCATGGCTTATCTCTGTACCAGCATCATTGCTGATGAGGTGAGAGTTTTCTCACATTGCAGTAGAACCAGTATTTGGTACTGCATTGTTCCACATAACAGACATCTTCTATTTTGTATGTTTTCCCAACCTCGTTGTGATTGTATTTTTACAACTATGTTATTTTAAAATTGCAGTTAGTATACAGACTGCCTAGTGTATGATAAAGTTTTTAAACAGTTTTTATAACATGAGATTGTAGTGTTTACAGGAGCAAATGGCCAATTCTTATGACCAATTTTTTTGGTTTTTATAAGTTCAATAAGCTTTAAATTTCTTGCTTTTGCTGTTGATCCTGAGCTTATTCTACCTAGCTGGTCATATGTCTATCTACTTGTTTAGATACTTTTTAAGAATAACTTCCTAGGAGTGGCTTTTGAGAGTCAGAGGGCATAAATGACTTTTGATGTATGTATTGCCAGTCTGCTGTTAAAAAAACCAATAGGATATCGAGAGTTTACTTTTCATCAGTACTTTTTAAGTTTGTGGCAAACTGATAAAATAAATCTAAATATTTCAAATGAAATATTTTAAATCACAGGTGGATTTGATCCTTTTGCAGTATATTTACTACCCATTTACGTTTCTTCTTTTGTTTGTGTCCCTTGGTGGTGGTGATGGTCATACTAGATTGTTTTATGTATTAAAGTTATTATCCTTTTATCATAGGTACTGCATATATTGTTTTTCTGTTTGCTTTTGTGAGTGACTGTGTGTAAACTGTTTTTATATTTTATTACAACATGGGAAATGTTTTAGTTTTTATGCTGTTGTATCTGTCAGACTTTCATCTATTAGTTCTGCCTTTGGTGACATGCTTACAAAAGTCTTTACCTTAGCAGAATGAAAAAAGACTCTGGCCTGAATTTTATTCTAGCACTTACATGATTTTGTTTCATTTTATTTTACATTTGACTCTTTAATTCAGCTAAACTATTTTGAAGTAAGAATTTTTTTTCTCAAAATTTCTGTTCCAAAAATTTTTGTAGCATTAAAATCAGGCATAGTTGTCAACCTGCTACGTATCATTCATGTCGGTTTATAATTGTTAACTCATAATATAAGTGGAAAATTATAATGGAATTAGTTATTTTTCAGTAAGTTAAGCAAATGTTTCATTATATGTACAGTTATAAATGCATGGCAAGGAACATCTTAAGACACTTGAATGTTAGTAAGCTAGATGGGTTACATGCACTTATAACTGTAATTCATGTCATCCGAGATTGAGAGTAATTCAGGTACAGTGGAATTCCAAAAAGGTAGGATTCTCTTACAGGAATGATAGGGAAAGCCTTGAGTGCTCAGCTGATGACTTTTTGTTCATACACTACGAGGAAGGAAAAAAAGATTAAAGTGCTAATACAGAGTATTCCTTCTAGTAGAGTATGTTGGAGGTTGAAATACAGGTGAGACTTAAAAAAGCAGGGAGTCGGTTAGGAATGCATTATAGTAAATGTTACTTGATAAAGGCCTCAGCTATGGGGAGGGGAGTGCACTGAGAAGACAAAAGCACCGAAGGCAAAAGCAATCTTCTCCCTCTCAGTTCATAACAGGGCATTGGCTGTCCTTTTCACATGCTGGCCTCTTCTTCTCAACCTTCAGCTTCAATGTTGTTTCCTCAGAAAGGCTCTGATCACTTTTGGCAGTAGTAGTAGGAAGCAGCAGTATTAAGTGTAGGTAGCCCTTTGAAGAAATTTAGCCATGAATAGAAGAGATAAGATAATAACTTGGAGGTGAGTAGCAGGACAGAAGAATAGAAGATTAATTGGGAGATTAGTCAGCAGGGGAAAAACTTGAAGTGAATAAGGAGATATTAAAGTTGCAAGTAACTTGGAGGATAGTAGTTGATGAAAAAATGTCTTGGAGGTGGGTAGGGATGAGAATAAGAGCTCAAATAGAAGGGTTTTGTCCACACAGTAAGAGGATCAATTTGGTTTTTGAGACCAGAATGAGGAGGACTGAATAAGTGATGTACAGAAAAAATTTAGGAGTGGAGGGAGGAGTGAAGTGGCACTGAACTCCATAAAGTGGGCTCAGTGATTGGAATCTTGGAGAAGAGTTTTGGAATACCTACGTTAGCAAATTTCATAGGGAGGCAACAAGATGTCGATGAAGAGATTGCTGAAGAAGAGCAAGAATTCTGTCAAGTAAAATGAATTTATAGAGGATGAAATCAGCAAAGTGTGGAAATGCAGCTATACAAAAATGAAAGTATTATAGGACTGGAGTGTGTCATGGTGGATGATTGAGGGGTCAAGAGAAAGTTTTTTAAATATGGCAGCATGGCATCTCATGAAAACTTGGAAGGAAGACACATGAAACCAGGAGGAAATTGATGGACTGAGAGAATAGGAGAGGATGGAGGAATCGGAAATAAGATGAACAGTGAAAAGTTTCAGTAGGTCGAGGTGTCAGAAGTAGAAGACAAAGGAGTATTATCCAAGAAGATCTTGCAGATCTCTGATGCGATCAAATGTGTACCAGTGTAGGAAGGCAAAGTACAGTCCAGGGATTATGGGGTCACTCACTCAGAATGTGATCTTGAACTTACGGAGAATGAAGGAGATAAGTGGACAGGGAAAATAGCCAGTTACCAGAGTCATTGAGAAAAGAATGCCAGAAGAAAGAATTTGCACCTAGACCAGAAGTTACAAATTGGAGAGATACTGAAAGCAGTTTGTATTGGTGAAGTATAACTGAGTTAATAAGCTTCAACATACTAAGTTGAATGTTAGTGTGGAGATACAATAAATTTCTGTCTTAGAGGTCTGGCAGGGCAATTGTGGGCCTTGATATTGAGGCATTCTGAAATTTTTAAGTAGTCAAGTTGGGCTTGTAAGTTTGCTATGGTTTTGTTAGCATCCATAGTATATTTGATGTCATTAGAGTACAGTGCCCATCCTTTGTTAAGATCACCAACAATTATTAGTTATCCTGTAAGCTTGTTGTTATTACACCTGGAAGGTGTTTCTGAATGAAGTAAATAAGAACTTTATTAGGCCCACTATGCCTAATTTGGTGCTTAACCAGTTTGGTTTATCAGGAGAGCAAGAAATACAACCATTATGGAAGTGTACTTCTTAATTTGTTGTAATTGTTTGGCTCTCTGATTCGTATTTTAGTTAATATGGGACAAGAGAAGTGTATTGTTCCAAACTCTTAGGAACCAAAAGTACATATGTGAAAGTTGGCTTACTTTGTAATCTTTTTTTCTTTGCAGACCATTCGAAGGAAGAAGAAAGTTCAGATACCAGTAAGTCGTCCTGACCCTGAGCCAATGTCTGATCATGAAGAAGATAGTTATGATGAGGAAGTACATGATCCAAGAAGTGGCCGTGGTGGTCTGGTTAACAGAAGGAGTGAGAAGAGTTGGGCAAGGGATAGAAGTGCAAGTAGAGAGCGGAGCTTGTCTCCACGGTCAGACAGGCGGTCACTGGCCTCCAGTCAGCCTGCCAGACCCACCAAAGTCACATTGGTGAAATCCCGGAAAAATGAAGGTATTCTCTACCAACTCTTCCGTTATTGTCTCCACATGAAAATTTTAAGACTAATTTTAATGAGAAATGCAGTTACCATCTCTTCATTGCTCTGCTTTGTTGTCTTTGTGTTTTTGTTCTGTTGCTGTAATTCTGTTGTGGCAGGCTCCAGGGAGTGTCCATTTGCTCTTCTCAAATCATTTTGTTGGAGCAGCAGGTAGCACTCCAAATAAATTATCCAGTAGTTGGATTTTGGAGTTGTTGTTGTGATGAGAACATCCAAATACAAATAATGATAACAAGAAATGTCACAGCATTACCAAATTGAAATTTAATGTTTTTCTTAGCTGTTAGGATCAGTAATAGTAAGAGTGTACTTCCAAAAGTTTGTGGAAAAATAAAATTAAAGGGTAAAACGAACCTTTCTTTTCATGAACTTTTTGAAATACCCTCGTAATAACCATGGGGAGAAATCTTGAGTCTTTGTATTTTTTTGGTGGACTGTTTTTTGAGTGTAGGGATCGAAGGGAAGGAACCCCATATAGGACATTTCTCCATAATGTAGGACTTCTTTAAAACTTTTGAAAGTGAAGCCCAGTTGCTTTCTCTCACTCCTCATCAAATGTTATTTTTTAAAAAAAGATCTGATTATGGTTTCCTTCTGCTGTGGTGGGCATCATCATTTTGACAAAAATGCGTGAGAATATTATGAAGGCTCATTGTGGTCTGCTTTGCTACCTGACATATCTCCTTCAAGTTACTCCATCCCACCCCAAGCCCCACCCCCAGTAGTGGACTTCTCAGTAAAGTTGTCTGCACTTGCTGTTTCTACTTCATTTTGTCACTCAGTCTTCAGCCCACTCTTATCTAGTGTCTATTCATCCCACCCCCAAAACTGTTCACACTAAATCCAGTAGAAACTTTTTAATCTTTGTCTTGCCAGTGCAGTACTGTTTCACAGAGTTAACTACTCCCTATAAACAGTGTCCTCTTTGGGCTTTTGTGATACTACATTCTTCTGGGTTCCCCCCACAAAACACACACACTTTTTTTTTCCTGTATCCTTTGCAAGCTCATTCTCCTCATCCTACCCTTCAGTGTTCTGTAGGTTTCTTTCTAGACTCTTTTTCCACTAAACATAATTTTTTAAGGCAATCTCAGGTCACTGCTGAAAATGGCAAAACTTATTTCTCAAATCTGTACATGCTTGTGTTCCGGTTTACTATTAGGCATATTCATAACACATTTCCCTCTTAAAATTTTTCCTCATTTGTTATGAAGTATCTGATTGAATATATTCCTGTCTACCCAATTTATCAAGACAGACATGTATAACGTGGTAATTAATTATGGTAATTAATTACTCTTGACATCCCTTTTTCCTATGCATAGTGAATAATGTGCTACTTTCTTAAATACCACTATATTAGTTCATTCCTATTGTTCATAACAAAATACCTGAAACTGGGTGACTTATAAAGAAAAACAAAATTTATTGCTTATAGTTTCTGAGACTAGGAAGTCCAAAGTCCATCTGGTGGTGGCACCAGAGACCCAGAGGTCTCACATTGCAAGATGGTGGAAGCAGAGAGAGCAGAGAGAGCAAGACAGACTCTCCTCTTCTTTTAAAGCCCTCTGAACGACACCTCTGACCACCATTTTTAATCCATTTACTACTGCATGGTTCTATAATCCAATCACCTGTTCAAGGCTCCACCTTTCAGTTACCATAATAGGATTTCCGACCCTCTTAACAGTCACACTGGGGGCTAAGTTTCTAATACATAAAACTTGGGATCACAATTCAAGCTTCAGTGAGTTTTGGAGGGACTTAATTCAGTCCACTGCAACCACTGTTATTTGTTCCACTTCAGTCTTTCTCCACTGCCACCACCCCTTTCCAAGTCACCATCATCTCTTAAGTGGACTCATTCAGTCTCATAACTGATCTCTGGATCTCTCTCCGTCGATTTACAGGCTCCTTCACATAACTGGAGAATCCTCTTGACTATTCTCCCTGTCTTATTCTTTCATCCCTCTTTTCCTTCTCAGTCTCAGGTAATTAGACTTATGACTTCATCAGACCTTCCAGGTTTTTTCCTTCTTATCTTTTGATGCATTTGTTTTGAACCGTTCCACCAATACTTCACCATCACCCCCCACACACAAACACACTCTTCAGGTTTAGTGTTAGTATTTCTTAGATAAGATTTTAGCTTTAGTATTTCTTCCTCAGGGAGGCCTTCTTTGACCCCCATTAGACACAGAAGCCTGTATTTCCACTATCTCAACTCTTTGTAGCACTTGTAATTGACATGGTGACATCTTCTTCATTGACTGTGTAAGTTGCCAAAGTGGAGGGGGACTGTCTGTCGTTTGCTGCTTTATCCACAGAGCCTGGCACATAATTATTATGTGCCCTTGGAAATATTTGGAATAAATGAATAAACTAATATATAAGGAATATTTTTGAGTCATCTATGTAATGGTTATTTAAAAGTTTTTAATCCTGAATAAGAACAGTCTTAACCAATATTGCATTAAAAAATTTTTTTTAATTGTGGAAAAAAAATTTTTTTAAACCCTCTGCTTATGAGCACTCTTTGTATATTTGCCTTAAGTTAAACTGTAACTCTAATGTAACTTTTAAACCCCTGCGTAGCGGGTCTTCTACCTTATCCCATATTAAAAACTTGTCTGTTTTCCATCTTGGTTTTTTGTTGGTTTTTTTTTTTTAATGTAATAAAGAGTCCTTCTCTGTCTCCTCACAGAACCAGGGGTGATCCTTTTCCTATTGGCATACTGATAGGTGTAGTCAGTAGTCTTGTTTTTAAAAAATACGTTTTCTACAGCTGTTGAAAGAACATGGGCAGTTCTCTGGACTCTTCTTGGTAACTTCCTATCTTTGACCACTCCTTCACCCACAAATAGAATTAATGTTGCCTCACTCTTGGATACTTTGTTGGTTATGCAAAGGAAAGAACTGGTATTTTAACTCCTGCCCATTTCAGCCATTTGTAAATAAGCCTTTGCATTAATACACAGCAGTTTATACTAATGCTCTGAGTTTGTGTCTTCAGTGTCAGAGATGTAGGATCAGAAATACTTTTTCTCTAAGAGTAGGAAAAAATAAAAATAGTACATGCTTGATAACAATCATCAACATAATTGTGAACCTTTCCGAAGTCTTTTAACCCTCAAGCAATTTGCTTTTTAGAATTGTATTAAACATTCTGAGAAACTAGCGTTTTAATACATGGTCAGAAGGAAATGGTGTTCTCTTTAGGACATTCTCCCTTTTGGCAAAATGGGAACACAGTGTGTCCGTGTCAGTCTATTGTTAGAACTACACACATTCACTTTATTTTTCTTGCTGACATTGCACATTTTTTGATGATTAGAGGAAGTATCTTATTTGCGGGGTGGCCAAATTTCTTATTATTAATTATACTAAAAATCTCTCTTTATGTAGTGATTATTAGTCTTGTAAACTAAGTATCAGGATTTTACATTAAAGACATTTAAATATATTATTTCAGAATATGGTCTTCGATTGGCCAGTCATATATTTGTAAAGGAAATTTCACAAGATAGTTTGGCAGCAAGAGATGGCAACATTCAAGAAGGCGATGTTGTATTGAAGGTATAGTCATATTCTTACATTTTAATGAACTGAAATAGAAAACAAGTTCTAGAGTTATATATCCTCTGCTCATGTTTGAAGAAATTTTACCAAAGAGAATTGAAAATCAGTGTTTGGGATAAAGGGACTTGAATTGCCACTGTTCGTTCTTAGATGTCAACACTGATACTTTAGGTATAGGGTCATCCTGAGAGAATTAATTGCTACAAATGTGTATTATTCCCCAGAAGGAGCTACTTTTTGGATAGATAAGTCTGTTCTTCCACCTTAAGTGGTTTTGGCAATTGTTCCAAACATTATTGAAATGATTGTTTTATTAGTTTGCTTATAAGTAATAGAATGTGGCAGACTTTCGGGGAGGAATTAGGGGATGCTAATTTGGGGTTTTCTGACAGAGTTACAGTATAATAAAAATTTTAACATTTTAGGAAGGTAGAATACTTTGATAATTGAGAAAGGTATAAAGAGAATATTCCGGTTCTTACAGCAAGCCAAGAAGTAGTTTGGATATTCCGGTTTATAACAGACTAAGTTAACTTGTATTTTGATTGTCATTTACGTTCACCTATAGTTTTTTTTTCTATTGCAGATAAATGGTACTGTGACAGAAAATATGTCATTGACAGATGCAAAGACATTGATAGAAAGGTCTAAAGGCAAGTTAAAAATGGTAGTTCAAAGAGATGAACGGGCTACCTTATTGAACGTCCCTGATCTTTCTGACAGTATCCACTCTGCTAATGCCTCCGAGAGAGATGGTGAGTACTATTGTGTTTGAAGGTTCCCTCTCAGTTACTTGTTTCTTAAAGTAGTAGGAAGATTGGACATCTTTGAGTAAAATGATAATTTTCTACAAGCCAAACACCTTCAAAATCTTAATATTACAAATACGTATATATATATATCACCCCCCCCACCCTCCTCCCCAGAGGCAGTTCACCACTATTGATTTGATCACTGGCTGATGAAATTGTTTAAATTCGTCATTTTATATGAGATTATACTTAGTAGCTTATTTCCATTATTGTGTGAGTACCTTATACTTTACTGTAATCATTTCGTGAGAAAATAAACGGCATCCTTTTATTTAACAGACATTTCAGAAATTCAGTCACTAGCATCAGATCATTCCAGCCGATCACATGACAGGCCTCCCCGCCGCAGCCGGTCACGATCTCCTGACCAACGGTCAGAGCCTTCTGATCATTCCAGACACTCTCCACAGCAGCCCAGCAATGGCAGGTAATAACACTATGTTGTTTAAAATAAAATAATTATGTTTGCTTGATACATGGATCTGGAAATTGCTTATAAATAAAATGAGAAGATAGATTTTTTGTTGTTATTCAAGATTAGATGTGTTTTTCTTTCTCAGTGTAGTCATTTCTTATCTAGAATAACAGAGGACAGTCAAACTTTCTTAAAGGGCTGGATAGTAAATATTTTAGGCACGCAGGCCATCCAGTTTCTGTCACTACTCAACTGTCTTCATAGCACAAAGGCAGCTGTAGATGGTGTGTAAATGAATGGGCATGACTGCGTTTGAATAAAATTTTATTTACAAAAAATACAAGCTTCAGGAATCTATTTGGGAAGGTTAACTATAATAGAAGTCCTTTAATAGATTAACCTGAACTTCATTTTCCCTTTTAAAAATTCACTGTCTGGTATTTATGCCAAAGGGTCTGGTATGCAAGTAGTATATGACTTGCCTGAATTTATCTTGTCTTTGGGGTTACATATACATTTGAGAATCTGTAGAAAATTATGACCCATCTCTCCAGGAGAATGCTCTTGTGCACATACATGCTGTATTTTGCGTATAATTTTTGAAGATTCCAGGGCCACCAACTGACCTGTGGTTAACAGCAGTTCATATGGAAATTTGAAGGCACTTAAAAAATGTGGGTACAGAGCTAGAGACAGTTTAGGAGAAAAGGGAACCTTTTCTTGGTGGGAATGTAAATTTGTTGCAGCCATAATGGAAAACACTATGGAAGTTCCTCAAAAAATTAAAAATAGAACCACCATATGATCTTGCAATCCCACTACCGGGTGTTTGTCCAAAGGAAATCAAGCACTATCTGGAGGAGTTATCTGCATTCCCATTATTATTATTGTCATTGTGGCATTATTCACAATAACCAAGATATGGAATCGACTTAGATGTACATCAACAGATGAATAGATAAAGAAAATGTGGTGCGCGCGCACACACACACACAATGGAATATTATACAGTCTTTAAAAGGAAAGAAATCCTGGCATTTGTAACAACATGGATGAACCTCGAGGACATTATTCTAAGTGTAATAAGCAAGGCACAGAAAGACAAATACTGCATGATCTCACTTGTGTTTGGAATCTAAAAAAGTTGAACTTATAGAAAGTAGTTCTGCTTCACAGAGAGGTGGTTACCAGGTACCAGAGGCATGGGGAGAAAGGAGGACATGTTGGTCAAAGGGTACAAAGTTTCAGTTATAAGATGAATAAGTTCTAGAGGCCCAATGTGCAGTATGGTTACTATTGTTAATAATAATGTATTTTATACTTGAAATTTGCTAAGAGAGTAGTAAGTAGATATTAAGTGTTTTCATCAAACACATGAAAAAAGATAACTGTGAGATGATGTATATGTTAATTAGATTGATTGTTGTCCTCATTTCACAATGTTTATGTGTATCAAAACAATATATTGCATACTTTAATTATATACAGTGTTTATCTCTCAATTATAGCTCAGTAAAGTTGGAAAGAAAAAGACATTCAGATACAGAACTGAAGAGATGGTGGTCTAGGATTAGAGAAGTGATGAGGGACTTACCAGCATAGAGGTGTTAGCTGAAGCCATAAAAGCCACTAAAATTGCTAAGGGAAACAATATGGAGAGAAGGCCAAGAACTAGGCCACAGGGAGCACTTTTGCTTAGAAAGGTGAGGATACGAGGAAAGAGTAAATGAAGAGGGGGGAGTACCTAGGCAGGAGAGAGCTTTCTTAAAGGTTCTCAGAAACCATAGTGAGATGGTTCTTAAAACTATAATTCACAAAGGTGTTTGGCTTTCTACTAAAATGGGAACTAGAAAGAGAAGAGGATAACTAGTAACTGCTATAAATATGGTTGCAATTATTGTGTTCACTATAGTTTTTAGGTATTTGTGAAGCTGATTCTAAATTTCAAATTTCAGATTTATATGTCAACTTTGATTTTTATTTTAAGGTTATAATGATTTTTTTAAAAAATATTATGGTATGCCACATGCAGAATTGGCTTATTATCTTATAACTTATGCTTATTTTTAACTGCTGCAGGTTAATATATTAATGCTAAAATCTCCTTGACACAGCACAGATGTTATCAGGAAAAGGACTGCTGCCACAACACCTACACAGTGATATAACTAACACCTTTGATGATTCATGGGAGCAGCTATCATTTTAACACATTTCCCACCTAGAAGCCATACTGATATCAAGCAATTTGGATGTGATTTGTGATCTCCCATTTAAAAAGATATTAATCAAAATCTCAAAATCTTGTCCATTTGTTTTGATTATAAGCAAATTGTAAATCTTAGATAGTTCTTTTTGACATCTGCTTTTTTCGTTTAGATTTTCTAAACACTTGACATCTGTAACCTTAACTTAAAAGTTGAAGAGGTGTTTTGTTTTGTTTCTATCATTTTTATCTTATATTGGGGTGTTTTACTTCTTCTCTTAGGAGCCTTATGTATTCTTATGGGTAGCACCAGTTATATGGGAACTTTTAAAAATACAGAATCCTGGGGCCTACTCTCAGTTTATCGGAAACAGAGGTAGGGAATACCTTTTTTTAAGCTTCTGTGCACTCCCGGATTTGGGAACCACAGATTAGAAAGAGTAGCATTTAAAAGAAAAGGTAGTACTTCAACTGTAGGAGGAAAAAAGTCTTCAAATTCTTTCCAGATTTTTGTGGTGAGAATTTCTGAAGATTCAGTAACCTCCCTATGGACAAGATATAAAATAATACCAGTTGCTTAAAGATTTCATATTCCCCCTATAGTTAATCTTAAAATTCAAATAATAGTGAAGTTTTAATTTAGAGGATACCTTGCATTTTGAGGAACAATTCAGATACATTATAAGAGTAAAATGCTAGTACTACAAAACACCATGAGACCTCTGTATAGTCTATTATTTTTATTTAATTTCATTTGTATAAATGTCTTTGTTTTATAAATGTTATTTAAATTTTTATTTTTAAAGAAGTGATATCAAACTGACTTGGTCTCTGTGAGAAAAGTTTCAATTTACTGTGTAAGAAGTCTGTCTTGGTAAGCATCAGCCCTGCTGTGTTCTCTTCCTAGATTTCTGAATATTTTTGTATGTCTTTAGATTATCTGCTGATCTCTTCATTTTGTGAGAGGCGATAGAACATAGCAATTTCTTTGGGCTTTGGAGACAGACTTCCTGGGTTCAAGTCCAGGCCTGCCATTGGTTGCTTGCATAACTTTGAAACCTCTCTGCTTCAGTGTCCTCATCTGCGGTAAAGTAGGCAGGTTGTGCATCACAAAGTTGTCTTCAGAATTAAATCAATTGCAATACCTGGCACAAATGTTTGCTACTATCATTATTATGGTAATTAGTAGTAGTTAGAGTTTTCAAATGCTTCCACATCTGCTCATATTTAGCCATTTCTACGAAGATTTCCTCATTCTGTAGGTAAAGTTGAGAGATTGTGGTAAAGTCCAGGGTTACGGAGTTGATGAGGGATTGGGCCAGGATTAAAACTCTTGGTCTTTTAACTCAAATCTTTGACCTTACTGGTGTAGAGAAAGAAAGAAAGTAGCTTAATTGCTACTTAATCTTCAGGGAACAAAAATCTATAAACAGTTCCATTGTTGTAATGACCTACTTATGTTCCTCTGCGTGATAGTGTTTTCTTAGAGAGCAAATGTATGGAGAGAATTCTGAGAAAAACACATGAGGTTGTTCTTCATTATAACTTGATGAGGAAAGCACCCTCACTGTTTTCTAGGACAAGGGTTGGCAGACTATATAGCCTACGGGCCAAATAAAGCCTGCTGTCTTGTTTCGTAAGTAAAGTTTTATCGGAAACCTATCCTACAGTGGCATAATTCAGAAGTTGTAACAGAGAGGCTATACAGCCAAGAGAGCCACTTACAGAAAAAGTGTACCAATCTCAGGTCTGGAGTTTTTGTTTTTAAATTAAAAGATAATTACATGCATAAAGAGAATTATTAGTGATCTTCTTATACCTTCATGTGTGCTGCTGGGCTTGTTTGCTTTGTTTTGTATTTTATTCAGTATTGCTTCAGAGCCCACTGTGGGTTAAGACTTTTGCACTGTAGGAACTGGGAATACTGAGAGAGTCCGCAGTTAATGGTGGCACTGTTTCTTGATGATTACCATATAGTTGTCACTGAAAAGATTATTTCATTGATCTTACAGTAATCCCTGAATAACTAGAGAATATTTGATTTGCAGGGCATGTTCTGAGGCTCTGTTTGGTTATATTGTATTCTCCCTGGTATTTACAGTTAATTTGACAGACTAATTTTATGGCTTTTCTTTCTAGGGGAACAACATATATTTACTTTTTTTTGTTCTGTTCTATAAACCTTTATAAAAGTGACTGGTGCTATTGATTAATCATAAACAGGTGCAATATTGAAAAAATTTTAATACAGTAAAAGCTCAGACTAATAGAATAAGGTCTAACTGTGAAAGATTTGGATTGTTAAGATTTACATTTTGTATTACACCCAGTCATTCCATGAAGTTGATAATGTTTATCTAAGGCTTAAGCTGTTGTCCAAAGTGTTTAAGGAATGTGTTTTAACAAATAGAAAAACAGTCTAATTTATATTTAGCATTATCCATTTTGTGAAAGTGGTTGCTTCGGAAGTTCTTGAGAGCAGTGCTATTTTCAAAAGGTTGAAACTTTGTAAAAATTTAAAATACTCTCTTTATTAATTGTTTATTTCTCCTGAGAGAAATGCCTCCACTAAATTCTGAATCTAGTAGTGTTAGCTTTGCTATGGCTTATAACAAATACATGATAGTAAAATCAAATTTTATGAATGAAAATTTCTATCCTAAATCCAAGTGTTAAGCCAAGTTAAGATCATATATTTGGGATCAAAACCTTTTATCTATACAATTCACCCATATTATCAGTTTTCTAAGAGTGCTAGGGAATTCCTGATACATGTGCACATAGGGCATGTAATATATCTGCTTAA